CAGCTCTTCCTCTTCCTCTTCTTGAAATGCTCACACTTTCAGCTCCATTCGCGCGCTCCACTATAGTTGTATTTTTTTTTTTTTACAGCTTGCTGCTTTTGTCGCCTATTGCTCATCTGGCAGCTGGGCTTATAAATGTCAAAGAGTTGCCACAATTCGCTCCTTTTTTTCAGCTTTTTCGCGTTGCAGTATTTTCACACGCCCTTAAGTACGCTAAGCCCTCAGTGAAAGTTCAAAGGGGGGAGAAAGAGAGAAACTGAAAAAAATGAAATCAAGAAAATAAGAGGAAAAAACGCGAAGCCGTCTGTGCCCCGCCCTTTATGCGTCTGACGCGCAGACCTTGAGGGCAGGACATGAAAGGGGATGCCGAGGCCTGAAGCAATGTTCGCGATTATAATAATATGCTACTTGGGTGACGGCTAAATGGTAATGGGCAATGGGCAATGGGCAATGGGCAATGGGTAATGGGTATTGGGTAACGGATAACTGGCCATGGCTGAAGCTGCTTGTTTGGCCATTCTCTTGGCCGACACATTTCGTGTCCTGCAGCCAAGTAATTTGCATGTACGCGTGCAAAATGTCTGCACTAATTAGCGTTTTTCATTTATGGGCGCGTCAAGACGCCCTGCAACTGATTATCATTAGCCCGATCATCATCATCGTCAGCATTTTCATTATGCTTAAAGCTGCGCCTGCAGTGTTGCGCTCGATTTAAATTTTGTTTTGGGGACAATTTCCTCTTTGAACTCGACATGTTTTAATTAACTTCCTGACAATTTTTGGATTTGTCAACAGCAAACGATTTTTGCTCTCTTTTTTATATTCATTTTCATTTTCATTTTCGCTTCTAACGGCATGTGTTGCATGTACTTGCAGGTCTACTATTACATCGTCGACTCGCCGCGAAACGAGGGCAAAGAATTTTTCGAAATTAATTTGCAAAGCGGCGAAATCTTTACCAAAACCGTGTTCGACAGAGAGAAGAAGGGCGCCTACGCCCTCGAGGTAGAGGCACGCGACGGTGCCCCATCGGCGCGACCCAACAGCAATGGACCCAATTCAGGTAAGTCGGCCAGCGCCAGCTACACTACACCCCCCCCGACCCCACACTAAAGTCTCCGGTTCAGTTCGCTTCACTTGTAGCCGGGCTGATTGCCACCGACTGCTGTCGCTATAAATGTCATTTGAAATTTGTGCATAAATTCACTGAAGCGGATGAATAAGTAGGCGAAAGCTTAACTCAATTGTGATTATATGGAAAATGTATTTGATTTTAATATACTAAAGTGGCGGCAAAGAGAGAGGCAGAGAGAGAGAGAGAGAGAGAGAGAGAGAGAGAGAGAGAGAGAGAGAGAGAGAGAGGGGAAGCAAGAGGATTTATAGCCATGTAAAATATATAAAATGCGTCAAGTAGCTAAATTTAATAAATTAATAAAAGTATTATAAGAGTTTTCCATTTATGCCAGCAATATGATCTAGAAACCTTTTGACTATCGAAAGGAAAATTATTTGAAGTGAGTGTTTGAGCTTTTTTATGAATGCAACTCAATTGACATAAAATATTTAATTTATTTAACTGTTGATTGAAGTGAGAAAAAAATGTGTAAAAAATGTTATTGCTATTTCAAAATCAACAATTACTAAATTTACAAGCTACAAATATTTATAGCTCAGCTAGGTAAAATGTTCTCTTCGAAAATGCATAGATCTATCTAACAGTCAGCAAATAGAAATGGACCTTGAATTGAAAAACATTTTGAGCTTGTTGCAATTGAAGAAGTCCCAAAACACACGCACAAATACATTTAGAGAGGGAGAGAGAGAGAGAGTGAGTGATTGGGAGAGAAAGAGAGAGAGAGAGTGTGTGTGTGTTATTTCAGTACAGTCTTAAATGAAAATTGTAGTTAAATGCGATTGCTTTTAGCCAGCTGCAGTTGTTGCTGTCGCTGCTGTTGTTGTTGTTGCTAAACATTTGGCTTGTCAACAAAAAATTGTGCAATAGTTTCTCTGGCTTGATTCAGTTTTTACTGACATTTTGGCTATTTGCATTGCTGCGCTGCTTGTTTGCAGCCTGGCTAAATCGAATATCTACGATAAATATTGACCACGTGGGCAAACCAAATAGGTCACATGATGTGGCCAGGCTGTGAGTGCGTGTCTCTAGCTCTGTTTCTATCTCGCTCTCCCTTTCTCTCTCTCTCTCACACACACACACACACACTCTCTGTGTGTCTGTGTGTATTTAGGCAAGTGCATTTTGGCTTTTATTGGATATGCAGCTGCCCACAAGCGCGGATTTGTGCTGGCAAATGAATTTGCATTTAGCGAAAACATTTGCCAAGCTGAAATCATCGACTGCAGCCGCAAAATGCATTTTATTTCCCATTTTTTCAGTTAATAGATATTTGCGAAACATCCGAATATGCTGAACACTTTTTATTATGAGCATAAAATATCAAATTCGTTTGCAGATTTTACGGCTTGTATCACTTGATTTTTATCAAATTAAAAATATGAATTAAATCTGCAGTCGACTGCAATTGACTGCCCTAAATTTGTTTGTGAGCATCATAATAAAATATTAAAATATAATAATAATACATCTATCGATAGATAATGGCAAGATAAAAAAAAATAAAATAAAATAAAAATAAAAAAAATAAAATTAAATATAAAAAATAAATAAAAATAAATAAAAAATAACAATAATAATAAATTAACACAAAATTAAAGCAGGAGAAAATTAAATAAAAAATTAATAAAAAATTCAAATTAAAAAAATAAATAAAAAAAATAATAATAATAACAATAATATAAAAATAAATAATAATAATAAATAAACATAAAAATAGAGCAAGAGAAAATTAAATAAAAAAATATATTTAAATAATCATGTATATATACATATATTTATTTAATTTATATTTAAAACTATA